TTCTACAAGCTAAAAATAGGACATCATACCACGTCGGAGCGCAGTATTTCCGGAGCCCTTTACAACGGTCTTAGTTTCGGGTACCCAGTTGGGAAAGATGATTGACCCGACGGGTCACGGATAGGAATTTGTAAACCGGTTTGGAACCTTAATTATCAGTGTTGTCAATTGGACTAAATAGACGTAATTTCAATTGGAATATGTCCAATTGAACACTGAATCAGATCTTGATTTTCCGAATTTTGCAGATTTAGACAATTACACACGTCGCTTACTGAAATATACGATTGATATGATATTTAAAATCTCGGGAGTTTCCCACCATCATCATAACGAAAACCTCTGGGTCACACCTTTTTGCAAAGCGCTATATAATGTTGTTAGTCGAAATTATTTCGACATTTAGGCATTTAGGAAAATTGAATTTAGGCAATTTTGACTTTGTTATTTTTTAAAAAATTACTATTAAAAAATGAATTTAGACATTTAGACATTTAGACAATTTAATTTAGACAAATTTTGACATTAGCAAAAACAATTTTGACTAACAACATTAGCGCTATAATTAGATAAGCACATAATAAAAATGCTTAAGGTTATCGTTATTGATTTGAACTTAAATTTCGACGTAAGCTACATTTTATTTTGTGGGCGATGCTAAGATACTCTGTAATCTGCTGGATAATTCAGAAGTTAAATAAGAAACACTTTGGAGAACACTAAAATTCTTTATTTTTGTATAATAATTCTTGAAAATGAATTTTTTCGGAAAATTTGAATTTAACAATTTATTAATAAATTTATTTATTTATTATATAAAATGCCTTTAATAAGGTACATTATAAATGTAAAATAAAAGGCGTTCATTTAAGACATTTGATTCTGTTCTCATCAACGACTATACAAGTAAAAGAAAATTTATTAGTATACCGTAATGAATTTACTGTATGATAATTAATAATTTATGAATAAAGTTACTACCAGTTGTTTTTTGTTCGCCATCGGGTTTGATTGAGTATTTTCCTTCAGCAGCAATACTTTTAATAACGCCAGTCTTAGTCACAGTTTTCTCTTCATTCGCATAATATTCCACACGGTCTGCGTGAAGCAAAATTGAAATTAAAATAACAAATTTAAAAAAAATAAAACAAAAACAAAAATGTACAGTACCTTCTTTTTTATATGGCATTTTTGAATAAAGGTTATTTTTAATTAAAGGTTATTTTTAATTGAAAATGAGGTTGGAACTTTTAATTGAAATTGAAATTGAACTTTTTAATCGAAAGTGAAATTGGAATGAGATCGAACGGTTTTTCATTTTTATAATAAAAAATTACTTTCTAATTGAGAAAAAAATGTATTTTAGCAATATAAAGGCAATTGTTTCTCATTATAGAATTTAATATTAAAGACTAAAAATCTCACACGCGGGAATCGTTGTCCAGATTTATTTAGTTACCCAGGCTTAATACTAATGAGTATAGATTTGATAAATCATATATAAAAAAGATTAAATTAATAAGTAAACTAATTTTTATTGATGGGGAGATTAAAAATCGTTGAAATTTACCCACTTTAGTTCTAACCAGTAATGCATAAGGTCTAGTCTTCTTCTTTACACGTAATATTCTTCTTAAATACGCATAATCTCAAAAAAGCGGGTGGGAAGAAAAAATGTGTGGGAAAAAAAATGTTAGGGAAGAAAAAATGTGTGGGAAGATCTTAAAGACACGATATTATGTCGTTTAAAATTCTGGGATCTTTATAAGTTTTAAATCGAGCTAGAGGCAATAGAATCATTTGGCTTGTATATTTAATTATAATAAAGCCATAATTATAGAGCCGAGCCGCATCTCTAAAAATGAATTATAATCAAATACCAGATTTAAATCGAAGATTAGAACCAATGCACTATATTGTCCCGAAAATATGAAAATAGAAAATGCGCGAAGTATTCGTTTGAGTAATACTATACAAACGAAATAAACAATAACCCAACAACTAAAGATAGTCACAGTTTGACATATTTCCTGCTTACTGTTTATAACACAAAACTTAAAAATTCAATAATAAAGGGATAAATATTAATATACAGATCAACAATTTTAAATATAGCATTTAATTAATTTGAGGATAAACCCTTGTTATTCGACATTTCATATGACGATGTGAATTTTTTTGCCATGATATTTTTTGCATGAAATTACGTAATCAGTTTTGCAAAATATCACAGAATGGTCATATTAACTATCCAATAACATCATTATTGAACATACGTACGACAAATAACAGGCAATTTTTTTTCATTAGAGTTAATTTCACTCATGTGCTGCTACGCAGCACATGAAGTGACTTAACTCCGACAAAAAAAAATTGCCTGTTACGTTTTGTCGTCTGTCCAATAATGTATACTTAGATGCCAGAACAAAACAAGAATAATAACCTTAATTTAATAATTTGTAGTTTAAATAATGACTTAGTGATTATAAATATTGCTTCATGACTAATAATTAGACCATAGTAACAATAAAACTAACTTATCTTTAAAGGTCTATTTTTATACTTTCTATTATTATTCATATCTATAATAATATTCAATATATACTATGAGTATTAGTCATTCTATTTAGGCTAGAAGAATAAAATTAGTGATGAAAGTATTTAATTGCTTTACAAGACAAACTCGATAAGCTGAAGTTTAATAAGCTAAAGACTAATTACTAATCCCCTAGCTTATTTGGCTAATTAAGTTTGCCTTGTATATAAATAATAAAGCGAGAACATTTTATTATATCATTAAAATAGTTATAGTATACGGAGATTATATTATCATTTATATTGGACAAAGTTAGCTTTGTCTCTATACAACTTACTTTCTGTATTAGTTTTTGGTAAATAGGAACGGCTCTGCAACTGCAATTGAGCGAAAGGACCTTGTATCCAACTCATTAATTAAATAGATAAGTATTAAAGTAATACTTTAATTGATTCTTATTATAGCTATAAAAATTGTTTGCTACTAGATAGGAATAATAAAAATGGCTATAATAAATTTATCAAATTAGCTGTATAATTTTAATAATTTTTATATTGTTTGAGAAAATATTTTATACTGTAACTTAATTTTACTACAAATTCTTAAAATCAAAATTTTAAAATTAATTGTTATATTATAACATGCAATATTCAAAATCTCGATGATTAGTAATTATATTATTAAACATCAATAGCGATAGACTTCGTTATAAAGTGATATAGTAATTAATTTTTAGAATTTCAATTTTTAGAACTTGATAATTCTTAATAAATATTATAATATAAATAGAGCACATTAAAACTTAATTAAAAAAACTTTTAAATTATTTTAAACAACTATATTACTTATTTAATTAAAACAAATTTTTATACTTAATCTTTTAAAATCCTTATTGTTTAATCATGACCTCTAAAAAAGATCAATTCCTAATATTAAATAAATTTTAAATCTAATAAGCTTGTATCGCGTAGTTAAAATGCAATATTATATGCTGAGCTTTAAAGTTATATCGCATTAAAAAAAATGTGTCATAGCAAATATGACAAGCTATCATTAAATTTATATAAAAATGACGATGTTCTTGCATTACATAACAATTAAAACTACAGTATAAAACTACTTATTTTTCAATTAATTATCTCTTTTATCTCTTTTGTAGGTTATTGATACACGTATTAGACATGGATGAAAGTGTATCAAAATTAGATGAATTAGAAGCACTACAACCTCAGGTTGATTCTGAAATCACAACATTATATACAGAAAAGATTTTTTCAAATTGGGAGCAATGTGAAACTTTTTTAAATGCATGGGCTAAAAAACAAGGTTTTCAGATAATTAAAAACTATGTGTATCATATAGAAGATGTGGTTCATCAACAAACCTTTACATGTGATTATAGTAGAAGTTATGATTCAAAATCAAGTAAGAATATAGACACAAAAAAAATACAATGCCTATTTTTAGTTAATGTTTTGTGCTCAAAAGATAAAAATTCTAAAGTATTAGTATTTATTAATAAGATCATAGAGAAACATAATCACATATTAAATAGTTTAATAATTGAATTTGAAGATTCAAAATGATTTACAGATAAAATAATGAAGGATATTAAATTTATGACTGTATTATGCAAATTTGGAGTAACTGCTCAATAGAAATTTCTTGAAAACAAATACTTTTTACATTCAATATATTCAAAAGATTATATGTTATAATAAGTAAATTTTATCTAACTAGAAAGTCTTTGTCAAATGATACTGTACAGATTTTAAATTGGCTTGACTAACAAAAAGAGTTAGACTCTTATTAGTATATAATATAAAACTAAATAATAATAATATTTTAATATATTTAGTATAGATAATACCAGAACAAATATCTAATTAGATATAATATTCTGATTATATTCTTAATGATATTACTTACAAGACTAATTAATATGGAATAGCTCTATTATTATTTGTTGAATTTAATAATAATAAGTATAATATTTTGTTTGCACAGAATCTTTTAGTAGATAAAAGCTTAGAATCATATATCTGGATATTTAATCATATTATAAAATCAACTAGTGTATATTCTAGTATTATGCTTACAGATGCTGATTTAGCTATTAACTCAGCTATTCATCAAATATTTACTTCTACTTATCCTATCTATTGTACCTATCATATTTTTCAAAACTTACATAAGAATCTCAAAAAGGTTCTAGATAATAAATATTAACTATTTTTTAAAAACTTTTATTGCTATCATAATAGCTTTATTGAGAATATATTTTAACAAAAATTTAATAATCTTTTGCACAACTATTCAGCTACTTAAACTTATCTAGAGTTCCTTAATAAGCTAAAAATATTTAGGCATATTGCTTTATTAGATATAAGTTTACAGATAGTATAATAACAAGCTCTCATATAGAATCTGTAAATATATGTTTAAAGCATTTGCTTCATAATTCTAATATATTATTATATGATCTTATAGCTGAAATTTACAAATTATTTGATTTACAAGATAAAAAAAATAAATATAAATTTTAAAAACTATTTCTAATATACAAAGCCAAAGCAATACAAATTTTTTGTTTACAAAAATAAACAAATACTTTTAACAATATCTAATATCTACTATACCAAAAATATATAGAAACAAAATAAATTAATTATTATATTATATAACAAATCTTATAAATATAGAAGATATTAAAAAATAGATAAGATAAGCAACAGTTTATTTATTAAAACTTGAGATTAGAAGTTTATCATTTAAAGGCTAGAATATAATTATTACTAAATAAAAACAGAAAATTTATTTAGTAATACTTGTATGAACTAGAATATAGGCAAATATTATGTGCAATATACTAAATTAAAATTTTTACTAAAAAAAACTTTATTTTTATTAGTTAAATAAAAAAATTTGATATGTTAAATAGTAATATTCAACTGCTATTTAACTATTATTTAATATTGTTTTTTTTTAATTTCAATTGTTAGAGACTATTTTTATAGTAAAGACTAAATAGTTAAATTGTGTAGCAATAGCAATTTATTAAATATTGATATATAATAATTTATCTATTTAGATAATTTAATAATACCTGAGAAAATTTTTCAATAGGTCTAATTTATAAATTAGTATATAATAATAAGATTTCTAATTAGATATAGGTTAGAACTAATGATTCTAGCTAATTTAAATTTTTTAACTAACTAAACTAATAAAATTTTATCAAATAGTTAGTTAGCTTAATTAAAAAACTTTTATATAGGCTTATTTACAAAATCAATTAGCTGATTCTCAAAAAAATTAACTAATTAGATCAGAAAATTAAGTTAGCTAATTTTCTTAGTTATCAGCTAGGATTACTAGTATATAGAATTAGAATTAAATATGAGTTAGTTAGTAGTGAAATAAATTAGTTTAATATCTAACACAAAATTATAATTATTAATAGGATAATCTGACTATATATACAAGTAATAAATTATTAATTAATACTTTACAAACTATATTAAAACAAATTTTTGAATTCATAGATTCTTATAATATTAAGGAGATCTGAACTATAAATATTAGAAATTTATCAAATATTATATATTATATTTTTTTTTAAATTTAGTGCTATACCTTAACTTTATTCAAATAGTTTGTAAAACAAACTTTTTACATTCAAATTTATATTCTAGTATGTTTAATTATTCAGCTGAAACTCATCTAATTACCCAAATAGTATCTATATACAGTATACTATAGTTAGTCTTTTACTTCTATACTATTAAGTTTGATCATTCAAACCTTTCTGTGTATCAAATAGTTTCAACAACTTAAAAAAAAAATTATTACTATCAAAAAGCTCTAAAGCTAACTAATAAAAAAAACCTTGCTTCAAGTTAAAAACTTTGTTAGATAGTAATATAATATAATAGGCTATATAGAAAAACAAAGAAAGTAAAAAAAAACAAATGTGCTCTTTAACCTGAATCAGATTAAAAATATTAAGTCAGCAGACTTATAACCTATCTCAAATTATTCTCTCTCTAATATTATAATCTATTTATATTACCTTATAATAGTATATTGATTGCTATTCATATCTTCTTATATACCTGTAGAACTAGTTTTAACAAAATAAGCAAAACAAAACATATGTTTTCATATGTTTGTTTTTTGTTTTGTTTATTCCTATAGTTATGTATCTAACAAAGTATATTTAAAAATAGATATAATAGGTCTGGTGATCTTAGTGTAGTGGTTAGGTTGCCGGACCACCATGCAAGAGATCTAGAGTTCAAATCCCACTGTATACAGAATTGAATAATTATCTAGACATCTGTATCTAACTTACAGTAAACTTTACCTGTTTCTGGGGTTGTAACCCTGTAAATCACGTTGCACCAATGCCAATCAGGTATTGGAAGTATGATGAGGCATTCGGCAAGGCGCAACATCACATGAATAAATCTTGATAAGATCTATGGGTAGGGGACCTGCATGGTAGAAATCCTAAGTTAGATGAAATAGTACGGATTTTAACAGTCATACTGGTTAACGTTTGATCTGGGAAAGGAAATCTGCATACGAAAAGATTAGTGAAGTAGATACGAGTAAGTCTGAGTATAGAAGGATCAACAAAATAGGTGCGAGTAAGTCTGTTACACAAGGTCATATGACAACACTAACCTGGCTTGGTGGCTAACTAGATTTGGAAGGATTTGTCTCATATGATATCCAGTGGCAAAGCAGGTAACACTAAGCAACAGATTTGGGAGGATCTACTTCATGTGATATCTGGAAGCATGGATGACTAACTTGGTGGAAGATCACAGTAGGAACCAGGTTTGTACAAACATCGAACAAGGGTATATGCAAGCTAGATTAGGATATAGCATAG